GGGACTGGGGCATGGGAAGAGGGGTTAACTGCAAACAGGCACCAGAGATCTTTTAGTGGGGGTGAGGGAGATGTTCTAAGACTGAGTTGTGATGGTTGCACAACTGGCTAAATTTCCCCAAAATCACTTAACTGTTATTTGAAACCAGTGGTATGTAAATCTTGTGGTATGTAAATCATGCAAGTCAAGCAGTTAGAAAAGGATTTACCAGCCAGAGTTGAGCTTTCCGGGTTAGAAGCCGACTGTTCTAGAAACCCCTCAGCTGGGACCCAGGATCAGTTAGGGTCCTCCCCTTCCTCTCTGCAGGTCAACATTTCCTCTGGTCTCAGACTTTCAGGAAGCTGCTAGCTGACACCCTGGTTTCTCTTTTGGAGAAGTCTGGGATCGAATTCTGCAGACTCAGCTGGTATGGGTATAAACATCCTGGCTCTTGGCCGTGCTGCCCAAAGTAGAAAAATGGGCATCAGAGGGAATGGATGGGAGGCTGGAGGGGGACCACCAGAGGTGCCCCCTACCCCATCCTGAGGTGACTCAAATACCACCTGGGGCTCTAACCCAGAACAGGGACTGAATTTGGGTTCCAGAGCCCAGGTTCCATCTGTAAGCCCCTATCCCTTGGGCTGACTAGTTCTCCAGATGAAATACAGCTTTTCACACCTCCAGGCCTCAGCACAGGCCATACCCTTCCCCCTTCCTTGCCCACCTGGAAAATCCTCTTCTTCCAACAAAATTCATCTCATTGTTATCTCTTCTGAAGCCTTCTCCTTTGCACGCCCACTCCCCTGGTCATCCCAGTGGAGCCCTTGTCTCCTCAGAGCTGGGGGTTGATTTATGTGTCTGCCTCCCCTACTCTTCCATGGGCTCCCTAAGGACTAAGGGCCTGTCTTATTTATCACTGCTTCTCAAGGTTCAGGGTCAGAACTCACTCAACACATCTCGGGCAGTGACCAACTGGAAGGGAGCATCAGACCACATCAGACACTTGCAGGGCCAAGGGCCAGAGGAGACGCCCCATTTCCCTCATCTATTCTTGGACTAAATGGCTTCTCTCATCTGGCCCCAGAATGGCCAGAGAGCCACTCCCTATGGAAACCACAGCTCAGGGTGGAAGCCTCCCTTCCACAGCTTTCCTAGGGCTGGGGCCGCTCGCCTTGGAAACCGCCTGAGTGTTATTTAAACTGGAACCGGGTCTCTGAATAGCTCAGGCTTGGCCTTGGCGGGGAAGGAAGGCAATCTGGAACAAGATCACATTGGAGCCTCCCTTCCCCAACTGTCAGGACCTCAGGGCTTGATCTCAGCAGCTTCTTGCTGTCGTGGGAAAGAACTAGGGGCTGAAGGTATATGGCAACTTGAGGCTGTATGTTTATGTTTCAACTCTAATATGGAGACTGGGCTTTGTCTCATTTGAGGCCGGGGTCCTTGGGGGCCTGAGACCAGGCTCCCAACAAGGACTGGCCAGAGCTGGAGGAACTCTGCTTACTCCAGCCATCTTTCCCAACCCAGACCTGCTGTCAAGTGAGGCTTCTTCAGAAAAGTTGAGACACAGCTTGAAAGCCCCAGGATCTTTGCTCAACCCGCTGTTCCCCATCTTAGGGGTAGAGGATGCCTGGCTGCCAGCAGGGACTCTGCCACAGTGGGCAGCTCATGTTTTTCTTGGTATCCCAAAGGGGAGTGTGTTGGTGTTCCCACCACAGAAATCAGAGCCTGGAACAGAAATGGGGATACCTGCAAAAGTCACCCAGACTTAAACCCAGTGTGGTCTGTCCATGGTCAACAAATATTTATAGAGGGTCGGGCACAGTTCTGGGCCCAGAGACTGCAAGGGTGACAAGACTTGGCCCCACCCTTAAGCAGTCCACAGACTCATGGATGAAGAAAAGTGGACAAACACTGAGTGCAGGTGGCTATAGGAATACAGAAAAGGGGGCTGACCTAGCCTAGCCTGGGTGGAGGCAAGTTCAGGGAAGGCTGCCTGGTAGAGATGACATCTCAGGTTAAGACCTGAAGGCTGACTCAGGCAAAGAGGGGAGGAGGCAGAGGGAGAGTGAAAGCAAACAGCATATGCAGACGTCCAGGGTCAAGGGAGAACTCTGCACATTTAGGGAAATTACAAGTAGTTCAGTATTTCTGGAACTGGATGAAAGCGTGATGGTTTAAAGGTCCAGATTGTGAATAACATGAAGATATGTAAAGGGCTCGGCCCAGCCCAGAGTAAACACTCTGCCATAGTAGCTCTTGTTATAACTATAGTCTTGTAAGCCAAGTTAAGGGTTTGGAACATCATTGTGCAGTCAATGGGGAGACATTCAAGGGTTTTAAAGCCAGGGTGACTTGATCAGATTTGCAACATGACCAGACTTAAAGAGATCCCTGTGCTTGCATGGTGGATTAGGGACCACAAGAGAAGCAAGGCTGGAGGATCAGAAGACCAGTTTGGAGACTGATCTCTAAACCAGCAGTAATTCAGAAAAGAGGTAGGGGGTGGGGAGCTTCAGATAGCCCCCAACAGTAGAATAGAGAAATACACATTGGAAGACAGAACACAGCAATGAAAATGAACTATCTATATGCAGTAACATGGATGAGTCTTACAAGTGCAACGTGGAGCAAAAGAAGGCAAACACATATATAATTCTATTTATATAAAATTCAAGAAACAGGTAAAATGAAACTAGTGTTTAGGGATGCGTGCTTAGGTGTTAAAACTATAAAAGCAAGGAAGTGATTATCATGAAAGTAGTGAAGACAGTGATTACCCTGTGCTTGGCAATACCTTGACTTGAATGACGTAATTTACCAGGTTTTCACTCTGTGACAAATCATTTCCATTTCTGTTTTGTGTACTTTCTTGTATGTAGGCTATTTTTAGTAAAAAAAAAAAGTTTTTAAAAATAATAGGGCTTGCTCTAGGCAGTGGAAATGAGGATGGAGAGAAGGGATGAGGTATATATTGGAGGAACAAGTTTGGGGAGGCAGACAAAGGTGAGGAGTGTGTTTAACACTCTAAGTTAGAGAGACCTGCAAGATATTGAAGCGGAAATGTCCAGGATCCCCGTGTGAGCTCAGACAAGTCACCTGCCCTGAGTCCAGATTCCCTTCTCCACAAGTGAGAGAAGCAGTGTGGTTTTAGGGAACCAGCCTTGGGTTTTGGTGTTGGAAACCCTGAGCTTAAAATTGTTCTCTTACTTCATGGCTGTGAACTTGGACAATTACTTCACCCCTCCTCTCCACTCCCTCAGCTTCAGTTTCCTCATGTGTAGATTTGATATAATCATTTCAACTCTCAGGGTTCTGGCAGAGGATTACATGGTAAAATAGGATAGGCACTTGGGGTGTTCAGTGCTTTGATCATCAATTAAGAGAATGAATAACGAATGAGAAAATACACTGAGAACATGGAAAGCAAGAACAGGTAACAATCACTGTGATTTTTACACTCCAGTGCTATTAAGAACTAGCTGGTGAGCTTGCAAAACTGGGCATTCTGTAAGTCCACAGTGACCACATAATTTATTGTCCAAACCAGGGCCCTTTTGAGAAAGGAGGCAATGTTAATAATTATGCCAAAAGACATAAATCAATACTGTCAATATTAAAAATATTAAAAATATTAAATTAAATATTAAAATTTAATTTATTAAATTTTATTAATTTATTAATATTAAAATTATTAAATATTAATATTTAATATTTAATAAAATCAAAATTTTAATTTTTAATTTTTAATATCAATATTAAATATTAAAATTTTAATATTAAAATATTTAATTAATATTAAAAAATAAAATATTAAAAATTTAAATATTAAACATTAAATTAATATTAAAAAATAAAATTATTAAATTTTAAATATTAAAAAATAAAAAAGTCCCAGGCAGAGGGGGAGGGTATAGCTCAGTGGCAGAGTGTGCTTGGTATGCATGCAATCCTAGTGGTTCTACTGGGGTTCAAACCCCAGAACCTTCTTTAAAAAAAAAATATATATATATATACATAAACAAACAAAGCTAATTCCTCCCCATCCCCCCAGAAAAGACTGTCCCAGGCAAAGCAGAACATGTGGTTCTCCTGTGTCTGTCTGAGATGGGGAGTCTGCATCTGATTTCCTGTCAAGCCTCTCAGGTGAACTGTATGCACCACCAGGACAGGATTGCTGCACCTACTGTGCCTACATGGAGCTGGTTTATTTACAGAAGGCTCAGGTTTACTTGGAGTAATCCTGCCAACCCTGTGAGGTGATAACAGATAACATCTATTAGTTCCAGGTACTGTGCTGAGTACTTCTACAGGCATCATCCCAGTTAATTCTCCCTAAACCTTTATGAGGTAGGCGGACTTAGCGTCCACTAGAGAAAACTAAAGTTTAAAGATGTTAAGCAACTCCTCCAAGGTCACATGTAGGGTGGAGGAGCAAGGGTTTGAACCCAGTCACTGATGGGAACCCTACTTAATTACTGTTCATACAACTTCCTCAGGTTTTGCTGGAACTCCCCCAACCCCACCAAGCTGCAGGGAACATGCACCACGGACACCGGCGGCAGCACAGCTGGGGTATCTGCATCCTGACTCCACCTGGGAAGCGCCAAGTCAAACAGCAGGTGGCAAGCTTGTCTTCCTCTCAAGCTATCACTGGTAGGTCGACTTGCTTGGGCCTGAGGGGAGGTGGAGTTAGAGTCTTCCGCCCGCCCCTACCAAAGAATCCAGTCAGCTAGCTGGGCGTGGGGTACCTAGTGCTTGCCAGTCTCCTGCTGGGCTCACTTTTGCAGCCGGTCTGAAGTCTCAGTTAAATTTTTGCATTGCAACTCGCAACCACTAATCTGTTAGAAAGCTCTCTGATGCATTTAGTTTATATAACTTCCCTACTTTGCCAAAAGCCGTCTATATTATGTCTCCTACAGCTATTTTTAGTTTCTTCTACTCAGGAGCTCTTAGGACCTGTGCAGCCTCATTACAGAAGGCTCGATTTTAGTGCAGCCTGGATAGGGGAAATGGTTGGAAAATATTCTGAACAGACCTAGAGTGGGCAAGCAACTGGCCGGGAAGTGGCAGAGCCCCGGCGGAGTTAGGACCCAGATCCTCCGTACGTCTAGAGTCTACGTCACCAGGACTCCGCCCCAGGGTCGGCGTCGGAGCTGAGACCCCGCAGGTTCCAAACTCTCCCCGCGCCCCCTGCTGCGCACACTCAGTCCGACCCTGCCCGCGCACCGCCCACCCAGGTCCTCGGGCGCCAGTGAGTGTGCTCACAGGGGAAACTGAGGCAGGGAGTGTGCTTGTGAGTCTGTCCCCTCCTCGGTCCACATCCCAGGGCCCACAAAGCTGCCCCCCCTCCTTCAACCCGCATGGGACACCAAGGAAGAACGGGAGGAAGGGGAGGGGGCCCACAGCAAGCAGGGTATAAGGAGTCGGCCGGTCCTGCCACACTCAAGATGGCGGCGCGACAGCGGCGAGGCCCCTCAAAGGCGGTACCAGCGCATGCGCAGCGCGGAGTCCCGGCCCGGGACACAAGATGGCGGCAGCGGCGCTGGGGAGGGCGAGGCGGAGGCGGCAAAACGGGCGGTCGAGCAGAACGTGTAGCCGCGTCCCCTCGAGTCCGCTGCGGGCAGGTAAGAGTCCCAGGAAGCTATGGTTCCGCCGCGAGCCGCGCCAGGGTCCGGGGATCCGAAGCCAGGCGGCGGTGGCCCCTCCGGCGCTTTCCGCTCCGGCTTACCGCTCGCCCCTCTCTGCCGCCGCCGCCATCTTAGGCCCACGGGTGGGCGGCCGGGCTGGTGGCCTGGATGAGGGAGTTGGGTCCGGAGAGCGCGGGCGGAGCGGCCTCTAGGGCCCCTCCGCTGCTTCCGCCGC